CACCAACAAGCAGTGTATTTAGTTGGGTGTTACCTTGGTGAGGCCAGCTTGAAGCATAGGGAGCACATGCAGTATTCTGCTTCCAAACATAGTGTTAGGCCAAAATCCAGCCTCTGCATACATCAGCAGCATCAATCTCTTGTTCATGGTTACGGGTTTTCAGCCGTGAGCTTTTCAGAATAAATCTTGTAAAACATTCCCATACCTCACACTTCCCAGAGCTATCACAAAGATTTCCCCTTCCTGAAGAACTTTGCTCTTTTCTTCTTCTCTCATAAGCCACTGTCTGAAATAATACCAAGATTGAGGCAGGAAAGAAAAAAAAAAAAACAACTGAGCAAAAATAAAAGATATTTTATCTCAATATATCATGAGGTGTTTGGTTTTTTTTTTTTTTTACAAATTATGATTTCCCAAAATACTGGCTGGTAATGAAAACGTCTTTATCAGTTGTGAGTTGTATTCTCAGTGCAGCTTCTTTGGCTCGAGCAGAGTAAGGCTGCTTACACCAGCTGAAAATCTTATTCCTCCGCTACAGCGGTGTGACTGGGTGCTGTTTTCTAATGAAGTAACCACTGTGAAATACCTGATTCACTTCGCACCCAACAGCTGTAGTTTCAGTCTGTGTTCCCAGTCACAGTCTGAAAACAAGCACAATAAGAAAGGCCAAAACAGCTGCAACTTCTCAACAGAAAAAAAAAAAAAAGAAGGGAGAAAAAAAGTTTGTTTTCAGGCTCCAGCTTAGGAAGGAAGTAAAGCCATTTTTCTTCTCTGTCTCATGCATGTCAGCTGTCTTAGAAAAATTATTACTGCTCTGTTTTGTAACAGAAACTCCACAATATTTGGTAAACTACAAACTCTAGGCTATTCATGGCCAAATACAGATTTAACATTTCTGATGCAGCCAAAACATGCTCAGTATGTGAATGGGCTGCAGTACTCTCCAGGAGAGATTTGGAATTCACCTCCTGGCCCCAATTATCCTCCTTAAAAGAACTCATGAATCTTCTGTATTTGGACCATCCATATTGATTTTATTCTAGTTCTACATTTGGCTGAAAAAAAGTAAACATTTAGTGAAGGAAGCTGTATTTACTTTCCTGTATTAGAGCTTTCCAGAGCAATTCAAGTGAATAATTCTATTTTATCAAACTAAAAACACAAGTAGGATAACAACAGGTTGGATAAAACATTCCTTGGTTGGATAAAACATACCTGCTTTTGCATTCTGAATATTACTGGTTCTTTAGAAGACTTTTTTTAAATAAGTGAAATGTGGACTATGTTCTCGGGTCATTAACAGAGTTTTAATGGGTAATGCTATAAGCTTTGGTGGAATCACTTGCAAAGTTAGGAACTATTAATTCTGATACATTTCAAAATACATCAAACCCCCAGAATCTGGTAGCCATCACCTACAGGAGGAAAAACATACATGTTAAATCTGCTGAATTTTTCAGCAATGCTGTGCTGTAGTCATGTTGTAAAGAGATAAAAATGGATGGAGACAGAAATAAAGTTGGAGGTGAGGGGAGTGCAGGAAGACAGAAAGTGATGAGCAGAAGAAATGCAAAAGGAGATGGAAAAGTGGCAAGAAATAGGAAAGAAAGAAAAGACAGAGAATCAAGTGGTTGGCTGCTGATCAAGTATAAGCAAGTATAATGGGGGAATATGAGAAACATTTTCCAAAAAATTTCTCTCAGGTTGAGGATCAATAGATTGCTGCTGCACTTCCTGGCTCCAACAGCACAGATTTGGAGCTTCACTTCAATTTAGGTGACACAATTACTACATTTTAAAGATATTTCCCCCCCCAAAACATTTCTTAACTAAAGGAAACCCTAAATTAATACAGAAAAAATGTGATTTAAACATTCATTATTTTCACCAAACTGTTCCATATTTGGGCACTGCAGGGTGCAGTTGTCAGAGACAGAGGTACTGTACTACTATTTCTTTTAATCTCATGAATGGCTGCTAGTACAGAAACTTATGTCAGAAACTAAGTTGTCTAAATATAGTAAGGTTTGGAATTTTGAAGAAGATACGAGATGAACTGGGTGCACTGGAAGGGCTGAGCTGATTTTCTAATTTTAGAAACCTATATGAATATTTTTTTCTTTTGCTTTTAACTAGTTGGCATGAAAATATGTTCTCAAGATACTAACACAATACAACCAGTGTTAAAACAGGTTCCCTGATAGGTAGAATTCTGTAACTAATTTTCTCTGAAAGCATGCCCGTGTCGGAAAGGATATAGTCAGCTCTGAACAGCTACAAGGGGAGTGCGCAAGAAAATTCAGTATTTGCTTGTACAAAGAGCTAAAAATATGAGTGCAAATGACTGTGCAAAAGTGAGATGCGTAATAAGCGAACAGCTGAGGATTCTTTGCAATAAGTTCCAGTAGATTTGTGAATGAAACAAAAAAGAATATAATTACATTTCTTTGCTAAAAATCTGTGGAAGCATTTGGGGATATCTTTTTGATAAATTAAGTCATTGTTAGATAATCCTGATTTTTTTAAAACCCATTTCACTTAAGTAATGGTCATATAATAGCTCAATTTTTAACGATCTCCATCTCATTGCAGCTAATAGCTATATTTCCATAGAAACACCACAAATCTGCTTTAGTTGGGCATTTAGTAATGATTGTGTTTGAAATCACTTCCTAGATAACTATTAGGAAAAAAAAATGAACAAAAAAATGTAAGAGAACATTAAATTCTGGAAAAATCTGTGTCTGCTGTATCCTACAGATCTGGTATCACTTCCAAAATCACTTAAAGGCAAAACAAATACTAACATTTTTATTTGGAGGTCGCATCATTAAAGGTAGTCAGTCTGCTTATTCTCTGCTGGTTGCACCCAACACTCAAAGAAAGCGATCCTACTTACTACAATATGAGCCCAATGCTGACTTCCCCCTGTAGCTCAAGCCAATCTGATTCAATGATGAGAATACTTCTGCTAACAGCCATGCAGTTTACACAATAGCCTTTTCTTTTGATCTGTAACTGAATGTGGAATGGGAAATGTATTCTGGAAATATTTAATTGTTCTTTGAGTTGCGTAAACATCTGAATGAAGTGTGTGGTGCAGGACTTGAATGAATAATTTAAAGAACATTATAAATAAGAATAATGCTCCCTTGCGCTTTCTACCAAACCTTCCTAAAAGCTTTGTGACAGCCCAGAAGAAATGCTGCGAGTAAGAGAGTAGTTGTTATTAACTGTATTTTGTAGTAAGGAAATTACTTCAGAAAGGTTAAACAAATTGCTGATGTTTGCTCTGTGAATCAGTATCTGCTTTTAAGAACAGAGCATAGTTTGGTCCTGTGCTCAGTGTGTAGCTCTTAGCATTTGCCTTTCCTGCACAAAAGACAAACTGCAGCTTAAAGTTACCAAGCTCATCATGGGAAGTGCAGGAAAAACTGGCAGATTTGTCACTGAAAGTTTTGTTTTCAGGGAAAAGAGAAGTATGATTTTCCCCACTTTTTCATCTGTTCTTTGTGGCAAATCACTTTGACCTTCTTCCCTGTAGAAGCATTACAGAATTTGCGTTATACTGCAGGCTCTGTGTCCAGCCTGTGCAGAAGACCAAAGGTACAGGATTCCTTTTATCCAGACAGGGTGCATAAACTGGGGACAATATGTAACCCTATTTACTGCATGTGGTAAGGACAGAAAATGAGGGGAAGGAAGACAAGAAAGAAGAGGCTTGTTTTCCTGAAAGGTTACATGTGCCCAAGTGTTTTCTAATGGAAGGTTATGGGAAATGGGAAAACTGGAATGACATAGCAACTAACAGCCTTCACATCAGGTTTCAGATAATGATGGTTAGGGGACAACACTACCAACTTTGATGACTCTCTGTAGCCTACAGAGCAAGAAGGGCCAAAGACTGCCAATACTTCAGGAAGCTCACAAGAAGACAAATAATAATGGCAAATTAAAAGAACACAGGTCCTTGGGTGCAGGAAGGATCCAGGTTGAGATGCACATCCAGGCTGGACTTTGTGGCAGTTGGAGAAGTCAAACACTCCAAGGAGGTTACTGCAGGATGATAGTGCTTGAAATAAGATGGGTGTATAGAGGGAGCCCCTGGTGATTTCAAAGTATTTTGTCTTTGTCTTCTGGTGTTTAATTTTGACTGCCAAGTTTTTAAATGGCTAGGCTCTATGGGTTCCATTTATTTCATTAGTCACCTACAAAGAAGTTGTGTAGTACAATTTACCTGTCTAGATTATTTAAGTACTCAGTGGACAGAGATAGACTACTCAGCAGGGTGATTTACCACTTTTTATGGAAAATGTCTTTTAGGACAGGAAAAGAACAGAGTGAGATGGGAGTGAGCAAGAGCCTGAAAATCTAAGACGCATTCAGAGAAACTTGAAAGTAGGTGGAAAAGGAGCTAATCTCAATTCTACAGCTGTGAGTCATAGGCTATGGGTATAAAAGCAAGGAATTTGGTGCCAGAGGAGTGGATCAGTATATAGAAACAACTAATGCTGAGGCTCCTGCTTCTACAGTATAAGCTGTCTTGGCATTTTACATTGAATAGGTTTAATCTGATCCTCTAGAGCAAAGGACCCATATGAAGTGTATTTCTGAAGCTGTTTGAACCTTTCTACCCCAGCTGGGGTTGGATCATATTTGATATGTATCCAAGACAGAGCTTTCAGTTTAGTTTTCTTTGAAAGAACTCTTGCTCATATGAACCAAAACTGCTCTGTGAACTGAGCCAGCTGGACTAAGTGGATATCATGGTAAAATTTGCTCCACAACCATTGCTTCAAACCACAAAATCCAGGTAAACACTTAAAATGTTGAGCGTTCCATTAGGCTATTTGTTTATATTCCAGAAGTTGTATTTTATTTGGTAATTTCAATTTGTTAATGCCCTGTTAAACTGGGGGTAATAATGCTTCTCACTTTTCACCATCCTGCTAAACTCCAGTATGTTTCCTTTATTGTGAAGTTATTGTAGTAGTATTTACCTGTATGAAGCGGCCCTCTGAAGTTCCCAGATTAGCAATGGTGAGGTTCTGTTTGGTGAAGACAGATATCGAAGTCAGCAGGACACTGTTGAACTGGCCCATGAACAAGTCAACCCTCTGCAGGGGAGTCGTAACTTCTAAGCGATATTCATCATCTTGTGCTCTGCAGTATGAAGCATTTCTTGAAAAAGCCTGTTTGAAAATGAAGTACAGATGAGTACTGTCTTTACGAGTAGTAACAGATCTTTGTCAGAATGAAGTCATTTAGCATAAACGCATTTGACCAAAAGGATTTTAAATGTTTCAAACTTAATTGCTCCATCAGTTATGATGTTCCATGAAGAAGGCAACAACTTCTTAATGTTTAAGGGAATGTTTCTTTTAACTTTTTTTATCATCTCTGTTGGAATAAGACATTGGGTCTTTATTTAACTAAACGATATGAGCACATATATCAAGGTATCCTTTCTCTTAGTGATTTCCTTAATACTGCTTGTCCAAGAGTCTCAGAATTTTTGTACTGCAGAGTCTGCCCAGTGACACATTTGCTTCTGAACAAGTTTCCTAGAAAAAGATTCTCTAAAAACAATGCAACTTTTTGCATTAAAACAACAATTTCCTATATTCTTCTATTCTATTTTCACCACCCTTTTCAGAGATAAGACATTAAAGTGGAGAAAAAGAGAAAGGAAAGGGAGATAAGTCAGGAAAAAGATGTTTCTGATTGTATGTTTAAATGAAACTATGGGAAAGCCAGATTTTTTTAATTACTCAGACTGTTGTATCGATCATCTATAGTTCATGCACTTTTTCATCTGATCTCTATATGTCTTGAGTATACTACAATAGCTGCTGCATTTGCAGGATTTTCTCTTTCATTTTGGGAATAGAGATTACACAGTTTTAATCTGCATTGGAAAAATTCTTGAACAATACACTCTAAGTTATCTCTCAAGAAGAATATAACCTCCTGACAATCCAGTAGTAATCTATTAACTCATAATTTCATTACTATTGATACTACATCATCTGTTTTGGTGAGATCATACAGATAATAATCAGGAACCCCCAAAGGATCTCTAACCAGTTTAAATTTGGAAGTCATCTAGCATGTTTCCACTGTGACGTACTTTATGAATAAACATGTAGGAAGATTATAAAGGATCTTATGGTGGTTCCCTCTGTTAAGATCAATAGTGAACTTCATTTTTCCTATTTTTTTTAATTGATTTGGTTTTTGTCACAAACATGTTTTAAAAAATCTATTAAAAAGCTTGAATGAAACCTTTTCAAGACAGTCAAGAGTCCACTAAATTCAACAGATTTGCATCATCCCCTTAAAGAGCATGTCGGAGTAAAATTTTTTGTCTTGTTTTCTAGATTTAGATGTCTTTCCCTCAAAGTACTATAAGAAAGCAAGCAATGAACAAAGAATTCCTTGTTGGAATAAAACCCAAGGCAAGTTTCAAGGCATTGAAAATGCTACCAAAAAATGTTCAACCTAATAGCTCAGTCCTTCGCTGTTGAATTGTGATGTTTCTGAACTGAGAGCAGCAACAGCCCTGGTGGGTGAAGTTTTCTATAATCCTTGGGTATTGCAGTCAGGGCTAGTGCCAGCTTTTCTAAAGGTGCCCTGCCAATTTACTGTATCGTTTAGGCGAAAACCTGCATAAGAACACATGAGCAATTGAAATCTCTGTGCAATGTCTTAATGATACAGAAAGAGGGCTTCTAAATTAGACCTGGTACAGCAGTGACTTAACAGTTGCACTATCCACATACTAAAGGGTTTGCTATATTAGTCTTGTTATTAACTGTTAATATACAGTGTGTTTTATTCAGCAGAAACTGAACTAATACTTTGAACTAGGAACACTGAAAACACTTTAAGTGGTTTTTAACCCAGTATTCGACTGGGTTAAATCATCAGTGGGCAAATCTAGATTTTCTTTGTTTTGGCCACCAAACAAGCTAAAAGCTGTATTCTTTTGCACTTATGTCCTACCCAGGCTAAAAGTATTTCTGAAACATCTGTACAAAGATTACTCATACAGTGAGTATGAATAGTTCAAGTGCAGAAAGATGTACAGTTTTCATGCTTTTTTGAAATAAGGCAGATTTCTGATTTTACACTCCCCAACTTGGGATCTCTGCTTTTTCCTGTAACTCCTTTTTTTCCATAAGCAAATGAATTTCGGGAGAGAGGTTCCTGTGCTAATCTACCTCCTCCTACATAGTCATTTCAGCACAATTCAAACATCCTATCATACCGCCTCCTGAAACCCTGTTCAGGGTCTTTGAAAAAAGTGGTTAGATTTTCCTGCTTGCCCTGACACCATTCCTAGCTTCTTCAAAGTCAGCTCAGCCATAAAGTCAGCTCAGCCTTCCTCAGAGATGCCATAATTTTGGTATCGGCTCAAGAACCTGCAGATTGTTACACATATGGTTCTTACAAAACTCAGTGCTTCATGGATTAACCATAATGTACAATTAGTTGTTCAAGAAATAGGAAGGCTTTGATCTTTGAGCAGCACTGAAGAGATTAAAAGGCTACTTAGAAAATGAAAGGAAGATTGATAACAGAGAAAACATCGGCAAAGAAGCTGCTTTAAATTAACACTTTTAAGCCTGATTCTCTTCCTTCCTCCCACCCTCTCACCCTCCCTCTCAGTACACATAACTATCCATTTGGCTGTCAATGTGGAAAAATAACTGATGTCAGATGATGCACCCTGGATACTATGCCAAGTTCTAGTGAGAAATCACACAGCTATTGAAATGGACGATTAGAGCATGGGTAAGTGCTTGGGTTCAGCTATATTGCTCCTCTTGTAGGACAAGAGGTGCCAATTGTGCGTGTGATTCATGGTGAGGGCTTTGTGAAGCTGGCGCAGGTGTGCCACTGGAATGCAATGAGGTGTGAGCAAGCCCTGCCTTACAGCCGTGTCCAGAAGGGTAGGAGATAACTAACACTATCATATTTGTTCATGGGGAAGTTGAGGTGTTTCAGAATTTACCCTTGATTTGGTCCACAGAAGACAGATATGCCAAAAAAGTCTCTAGACATCGCTGAGCAGAGCTATCAGGAGCTGTCACAGTTTTGCAATTAACTAGTGGTTTATATTTCATATTCAGTGACCATAAAGTATTTCAGACAGAGTTGCACATTTGGAGCCAAAGGTGCAAAATGGAGAGGAATTCTTACAGACATTAATGAAAATCTCAGAAAAATACCCAGTTAGGTCAGCGTCAGAAAAATGATTCCAAAGTCTAGTTTTTAGTCTGAATACCACACTAAGGGGGTGGGTGGGATCAAAATTTTATCCAAAGATGTTTTTGTGAGCTTTTCTGTTACTTGCAGTGACTGTAAATTGGAGAAACACTCCTCCAGGCTCATCCTTCTAAGAGCTGACCAAACCCTGCTCCTCTTAGTTAAGTGCAGTGCTCAATTAGAAAGTGTTATTGTATGTAAAGTCTTGATGTTATGATTCATGTCTTGAATAAATTGGAAATCAATGACTTCATCACTGTAGAACATTTCATACTGTCTTGCGAGCCATTTGTAGGACATCATTAAAAATAAAATTTAATTTCAAAAATTGGAGAAATGGTCTGAAAGTAACTAGGTGATATTTCCTAGTGTCAATCATAAAATACTACAGTTATGAAGAACAATTCAAGTGAAAGTAGGAATATGCATAAGTCTTATTCTCTGATGGTTTGTTTATATAAAAGCTTTTAACTTGTTGGCTGTCAGGATTCAAAATCATAAGTATTAACTTTTGTTTTCTGCTATGAATTCTGGGAGTCTCCCTCAAGAGAAGTGGGCACTGACAAGTAGTAACACTGTTTCTCCTTTCACAGAATCAAGAAATACTTTAGGTTGGAAAAGACCCTTAAGATCATCTCTACAACATAACAGTAGGGGGAAATGAGCTACTGCTAAATGAGCTGGATCCAGATACCTGCAAATGGCAAAACCCCTTTTTCAAAGAAACTGCTGTAGAGTGAATGAATAGATGATGCTACATAAATTGGTTCCCAAGGCAATTAAAACCTGAGAGAGTGTATAAGTTACTTATCCCTTCTGTTGTGGAAGTTGGTGAATTAAGATGAATAATAAAACTACAGGTTTCAGGATTGGGTCCTGTTGGAATCAAACACATAATGGTGAAGAATTTACAGGTCCAGCAGACTCTGAACAGGAAGAGTAAGAAGGAGGAACACAGAAGAACCTTATCAGATTTTCCTCTCTAAATATTCTTGTGTATTTTCAGCCAATACAGTTTTGGTGTTCTGTAATACACTTGAATTTTCTGAGTAGTTTGCAGTATTTCTCTTCAGGTGAGAAGTACATGTGCTCACTGCTTCTCTCCATGAGAAATACAAGAATGGCATTCTGTCCCCAATAATTCAGTTAAGCCAGATTGTTGCCTGAGGATGATAGTGACTTGATCATCATCATGGTACTTATGATTCTTGTGATCCTAGGGAAGGAAAAAACAAATAATATTGAATGGTTCAATTTTGCCAGTGGACACCAATTCATATGGTAAACAATTCCCACAGAAGAAGATCCACCATGCTTCTGATTACTTCTTGACCAGTGAACGACACCTTGAGGGTGTGTAGGTGCTGTGAACACATCTGGGACAGGAGACTGGGTTTTCTGTTTCTAAGAACTTGTGCTGAGGCACTGAAGCTTTACTCTGAAAGTTAGAAGAGTTGTTTCCTCTTTTTGTTTTAAACAAAGAATTGTTTTCTTATTCTTCCTTCCTCCTCTTCCCAATATTCCTCATTTATTTGAAAGCAATTTGAAGATTTTTTTTTTATAAAATACAGAGAAAGTAAATCCCTTTCTGAGACTATATTTTTTTAAAGAACTCCACTGATGTAAAATTTTACATAGTATCATTCCACTAACTCTTAATAGTGGTTGCTCTGATCTACTTCACTGCTAAAATGAGATGGGGGAAGAAGTTACTGTACTGATGCTTCACTTAAGGTAATAGGTAAAAAACATCCATGTTAAATGCAATTAGTTAATACAAATTAAGATGATTTCATGTTCTTTTGTCAAGATCATTCAAAGAGTTATTTGCTTTTGTCATTGAACAGTACTGCATTAGTTCTCATAATCTGGTTAGTGCATTAGCACTAAGTAAATCCTATTGATTCAGCAGATAAAATGG